TACCACCGGGACAGAGGGCCTCGCCACACGGCACACGAAACGAAAACTTTCACGAGTTCGTTTCATGTTCACACCGCCACATGGTCCACGAATCTCAATAGTGAAAAAGAACTCGTCAGGTGTCAGGTCCTTGTCATAATGGAAAGCAAACTGTGGTTCGCGAGGAGATTGCTGCACCCCACCTGCAGCACCTCAATTTTTGAGGGTCCTTGCAAGGACCCTCTAATCCCCTGCCAACTCTCACGAATCATCGCAAGTGTGTCCAAGGCAGCGGATTGTCTTTCTTGACTTCTGCTATCGATAGAGACTCGTTTTTTTTTTTTTTTTTTCCCGTGCTCGGTGGTGTTCGTTTCGCATGGTGATGCAGCAGAAAACGAAACAAGAACGAACTTGCCCCCTGGCAAACCCTCACAAATTTTGTTGGCGTGTGGCAAGACCCGGAGGCCTTGCACAACGGCTTTTCATTAAAAAAGACGAGAGAAAAAAAAAAGAGACATCCTATCCCTTAAGCAGCATCGGGAGCAGGGGGAAGGTCCATGAGCGCCCAATTCGGGTCGAAGTTTTGGTGAGGGGCGGCGGATTGAGGGTCTGTTAGCAGAGCAAATTATTTTATCTACTATAATTCTGTACGAATAGAAAATGATTTTTCTTTACTGTTCTTATATAATTAGAATGCATTTGTGGAAAGATATTGCTTATACTATTAGGTACACACCGAAGGTTGCGTGAGAGAAAATTGTTGAGAAAAAGAAGTATGGTGGCTTCAGACTCCTATACCTGAAGCAAGATCCCACTAGCCATGTATGTGGATTAGTGTGACAGTGTGGGACGGGTGGGGGACAGGTGGGTGGCAGCGTGAAGTAGGGAAAATAAACGCAAAAAAAACATTTCATGACCAAACAAATGAAGAAAAAACTGCTAAAAAAGAAAAGAAAGTCTCTTCTCACAGATGGTGTCTGCTCCAGGCAGGGTGTCAGATGTCAGGGTATGATTCACTGACCATGGCTGTGGCAGTCAAGACGACTGCATGTAAGTGGCAACACGGACCATATTCATTGACAATAGTCTGAGGCTTCCTTGAAATAGGCCGCAGTGCACACCCAAAAAGGAACTACAGACTATTCAATAAATCCCACCCAATAGAGTCGCAGGCACTCCCAAAAACGAACTACAGACTATTCAGCACTTCCTAGAAGTGCTCACTTAGTCCTACAGAAGGTAAGAAGCTAAGGGGGAAAACAGACATACATAAATATATGATCGCCTGTGTGTGTGTGTGTGTGTGTGTGTGTGTGTGTGTGTGTGTGTGAG